GTCCAAACAATAGTCCTGTCCTAGTTTACCCCAGCACAAAATATTCTGATTGGAGGGGATATTTCAATTCTAGGGAGGATTTTTCCAATTGTAAAGTGTGGTAACGAAATATGACCCTTTGAAGCTTCAGCATTTTGGTCTGCGTGTAAACTACTTGGAAGAGCCTAGACACCTTCAAATCAATGGTGATCTTTGCCCAGGCTCCTTATCACGGCATAGGCTCCTGTTTGATGTATCAAAAACTCGTCCCTTTCTAATTCTACACACCATATGAGTGTTTGTAAAATCAACAAACCTTAAGGATATCAATGATTTGATGAGGAGTATCCAATAACGTCACATTATGTAGAAATGATATAAAGTGATAAGCTAAGATATCTTTCAAAAATAAAATAATAGAGTTCATGAGAAATGCGTATTATTAATAAGACTTACATGTAATGTGGCTAAGAGATATATATATAAGTTGATTCAATGGAAAGATGTGATGGAGATGAAAGATTACAAAAACCCCAATGCTAAAGTTTGAGTAATTTTAGAACAGTCGGTTTTAGACTGTACCAATAGGACTCATTGATGATCGACGAGTGATCAACAATCTCTGAAGCTGATCAGCTGATAAACCTGAATTCAGGAGATCCACACCAGAGCGTAAATCACGATTATCAAGCAAAGGAATGTTGGAAGGAGAAAATATGAACTCGGAAGGATCAGGTGGTGGCCAAGCTCTGTGAAGGAAACAAAGGTCAACAAGATGATCAAAAGATGGAATAGAAGTTAGAGGGAAGATTTGAAGACTTACGTAATTTTTGCAAGCTCAGGAGCAATGAGATGGTGACAGAAATAATCCATATCCAAATCATTCAAATCTGAATCAAAAAAATCACCACAAGATCAAACCCCCAGGTAAGAAAAAGAAGAGAGTTGATAAATTTGTGAAAAGACAACAGTGACTCACAATATCCAAATGGATTCTCAATTTCTTGACCTACCCTCATAAAACCTAAAAATGCAATTGCAACAAGAGCAGTAGCTGGAATTGTACAAAGACCAAATGTATTCACAAGTTGAAAAGGTAAGAAGATGAGGTAACCCCATATAACTAATTTCAAATGTACGATGTATCCATATGGGATTGGGGTTGTTAAGATCTTATCCAAATTTGTCAAGCAATCTGACATTGTTAATATTGATGCAAGAAGCGAGTTTACTGTGGGTACGCTGATTGCAGCTCGCAGAGAGTCAAAGCTTTAGGTCAATGCTGAATCATTGTTTTGAGCTGAGATGAAACTTACTCGATCACTTTACATAGTTGCAGTTTTGCTACATAGCTATCAATATACCAGATGATCTCAAGTGGAATGTTATCATCGTGTATCATTTTAGAATATGCTTCCTTTCGACGACGTAAGCCTGTGACATTCCTAGTTCCCTAGTTATTTTTTGAAAACATCTCAGCACACACTCATTCATCTTGATATCAATCATGCAAAAAAACACTTCTACCTTCCAAAGAGCTCGAAATATTGAACAGATTGGGAAGATTTCCACAAAACTACTCTTGGGTGGATTGTAAGCAGGCAAAAGTTCACGATCTGGCTTGAAAGGATTCAGGGATCCATTCACGTGTGGTCTCAAAGTCTGTTGTCTAGAGGTAGGTAGGCTTTTGTCGTTGACTCTTTCGCTATTCTGATGGGTTTCAGGCTCAAAGAGGGTGGAAGCAGTCTGAGGTGTATCAATCGTTCCATCGCAATTGGCATTATTCGTCTCCATAGGCTGATCAGCTGAAGCGCAGGTTTTGGTGGAGGTGAAATCAAGGTTATGTCGATCGATGAGACGTCCAGCAGGAGAAGCATACTTGGGTAGAAAACACGCCAGATCTGGTATCACATATAATTCTTTAACACTGCAGGGGAAAAAAGATGAGCCTTTCTCGTCAAGAAATCTTACGCACGATACAAGTCCTCATAGTAGATTCCATGTTCTATTGAATAAGTCGATCAATGTCAATCACACCATGTGGATTAAGATAGAAGAACAACCAAACTTACCCCCGCGTAGGTGATGCTTCAAGCTAACAGCAAAGCCTTCAACCAAGTTGATGATTGTTTTCTTTTCTATAATCGACCGTAGGCGCTTGTATTTGTTCATTCATTTAGAATAAACATCAACATTGTGACATCTCTATCTGTCAAGCAGGGAGTTCATGCCCACCTCCTCTTCAGTG